GTCCAGAAGGGTTTGGTGGGATCTGGGGGGCTTGCAGGGTTTGTGAGGGCTCTCTCCCCCACCCCACCCCAGGACCAAGGGCTATTTTGAGCCCCCTGACCTGCCCCCACCCCAGATAAACACCCCCCCCACACACAAACCAATCCCCCATCCTTTCCTCCACTGGGATTTACTTTCTTGACTCCCGGCATTGGTGAATGCTGATTAAACCAGCACCAGGAGCAGCTTATGGGATGGGGACTTGGTGGGGTGGGGTTGGCTGGTCTGTTGTGAGGAGGGTTGTCCATCTGGGACTTGGGTGAGAGACCAGGGAACTAAAAATAGACTGGTGCTAGGGGACAGGTAGGAAAATCACAGGTCCGGGGCTGGAGCTGAGGCTGGGGCTCAGGGCCAGTGGCTGTGCTTTCCTAGGCTTCGGGCTGCAATGGGAACTGTACAGAAATTCAGGACAGTTAGATCAATCTAAAAATGGCCAACCCGATCTAAGTTAGAGTACCTCAGAGGTAGGGTTAACTCTAGATAAGGATGGCCATTTTTAGACTGATCTAACTTTCCTAGAACTTCTGTACAGTTTGCACTTAAATCAACTTAAATAGGGATCTGAGTGTAGGGTCCACACCTGAACAAATTGTGTTAGATTGGGTGGCCATTTCAACACTCTTTAACCTTCCTCTAACTTCCCTGAATGCATGTATGAACCTTTGGTGAACAGGCTCCCCTGAGGAGAAGGAGACAGAGTACTGCTCTGTTGCTCCAAGGCTGGACAGCTGGTCTTTGGGGCACCATTATAGTCTTCCAATCAGGGGGCTGGAATGCCTGTATGCTCCCATAGTGCTATATTTTTGTAGTGCTACAAAGCGCTCAGGCAAATTAACATCTGTCCACAACCACACCCACTTCTTATTCACCATCCACATCCTTCAAATCCCTCTTCAAAACATATTTATTCCATGAAGTCTCAACAATAAAATCCCCATAACCATCCAATAAGAGGCAATGATTTGTATAGGTGATATCTTTAATTGGACCAACTGTATAGTTAAGAGGGATTTAAACAAGATTGTGGCCATAAAGCACCATTCTTCAAGTCTATATTTGTTTATTCTACACTACCTATGCTTGCGAATGGTGACTTGATTCTAATGCATAATACATATTTATTTTGTATGAAAAAATGTGCAATGCTAAATAATAAAATAATCAAGCTCAATTGGGTTCACTTTGCTTAATAAGTGACTACATTTTTGAGCCGGTATAATCATTCATAACCTTTGGAAGTGCTATCTTCCAGTTGTCAGTCATTCCTAATCAACATTATTCTTTAAAATGATCAAAGGGCCAAGTTCTTCCTTCATAGGACTAATTTAGCAAAGGTCATCGGGAGTAACTTGGCTTAAAGCAATTTAAAGCAGTGCTGCAGTATTTCATATTTTAAGAAACCATGCTGCTTTTACAATTTATACTAGTCTGGGCAGAAATTAAGAGTTAAGATGGCCTAATATAGGTAAACTTAAAAAAAAAAAAAAAAAAAGCATAGTTTTGCTTCAAACCAGGACCCAAGCACTAAAAGTTTATGTAATCTCTATCCTTCCAACTCAAATCTTCTGACTGTAATACCACAAGAACAAACTTACTGACAAGATTCCCAAAACTATGTCACAGAGAATGGGTCAGGAATTTTCAACAACATGTTTCAGTTTTGGTTCATTAGAAAGGTCACTTAAGTCTGTTACAGAATATCTGGTGAGAACCAGAGAGGGGCACCCAGTTATTCCAGGTAAGTACTCTAGGCATTGAGCAACAGAGACAATCTCTCTCTCCCTATCATGGGCGAGGATGAGCACACACACACACACACTGAATATAAGTGGCATGGTTTCACCAGAAAAAATAGTTTTTTTATGGCACTCACTACGTATATAGTATACCCAGGTCTTTTGTTAAAAGAAATCAGGTTGCCTTTGTACCCCAATAAAAATGAAATCTCAAAATGTTTTATAAAACAAAATTTTGTTGGCCTGTTTCAAAAGTAGTCACTGACTCTTGGATGGCTCCATTCTTGAGAAGTCTTTCTTGAGGAACCTTTTGGTTTACTAATTTGAGGCACTAAAGACTTGAGGCCACTTCTGAAAATGGTAGCTCTGATGTTTTTTAGGTGTTGAAGACATGAAGTACAAGATAGGAGTCATGGATGACTATATCTGGTTCCTGGCAAGCTGGGAAAATAGCCATATAATACTTTTTAAAGTTAATTGAACTTTTCACAGAAAGAAATGAGGTTTGGCTTGAGCTGTGGGCCCAGATGAGCCTCAGTTCTTTTTTATTCACAACAGTTGGGATATGTTATCACTTCTTCCCTGGCTCTTCAGAAGGGAGCAGTGGTGACCAAAACCCTATAAACCCTTGGGCAGCAATTTAAGTGCTATTGTGGCTCTGAGCTCATTGTACTCAGTTATTGAAGTCCTGCTGTAGAGGGGGAGGAGGGGAATGTATGTATGTAAAGTTATAGTTCTGTTATTTTTTACCTTATCCTGAATGACCTGGCAAATGGAGTTAGCTGGACTTGAAGGAATAAGGACAGATGCAAAGTTGCAGTAGATTGTTTCTGTCCCATCCCCTTGAGAGCTAGTGCATCTATGAATGCTTGGGAACTGAGCTTAATTGCTCTATGTAGTCCATTATTTTGTTTTTATTGCTGGGTGATACATTAAAAATATATGCAGATGAGCAAAGATGCACCCATATGATAGAAATCCCAGATCAGCTCATTTGACCTTGAACAGGAACTCGTTTGCATATTATTTTCACTAACATCTTCCAGCTCCCTCCCTGCCCCTGCCCCCCGCAGCATGTGTACTTTGCATGAACGTCAATTTTATGAGTTTTCAAACTGAGGCCAGCAGGGGTGCATGGGGATTTGTTTCATCTTCCAAGGGTATTAGGAAGATACTGAATAACCTATACCAAATTTGCAATTTCCAGATGCAAAACTGATTGTTGACACAGTCGTAATTATTCACAGTGAGTGGCAGATGGCAGCAGCAGCTAACTTTGCATAATCTCAATATTTTTCACCAGCGCTTTTTGTAACTCATATTAAGAATTTCAGAACCTGTTTTGCATATGTCTTGCTATTGGTTGTGATTCATTTGCTTAAATTAATCACTGACATTTAAGTGCTATTCAATTTATAAAATCCGTTTAGAAAATGTTTGTAATCAATTCATTCAGTTCATCCAGTAAGCATCACTTAAAATAGCTACAGCCTGACTGGCCACAGGGCAAAAATGGATGCAAGTCAAAAATACGTTGCATCCACTTTGCATTCTTGAAATAAATGACTACAGACAGGGCAGGGCAATGGAGAATCACATACTTCAAAATTAGCTCCAAAATTATGGCCTTGTTCAACTTACAAACAGTTCGGCCAGATTGTGGTAGGTAATTTACTTACCAGGACTTGCTTCTCCCTGTTAGCAACTCTGGTAAGTAACTGCAGCCTCCCTTGCTTTGCAGTAGGAGAAGCCATTCTTCTTCACCTGAATAGAAAGACTGGGGTCATCCAGTTATATGAACCCAGACCTGACCAGATCTAGATCTCAAGTCCGCAACTGACTTTTAGTCAGCAGATGACTTCACCCAGTTAAAATCTGGAGGTAACATTATCATTTACACTTAGACCATACTAAGGGCACTTAAAATGTGAAGATGCTTACAGATGTTATCAAACAAACGAAAAACTTTGCCAGAAGAAGTGCATGTCAGATCAACCCAGGTCCACAGCATCTGTATAGACTGGACAGTTCAGTGGAGCTTTTTTGACGTTTTTATCCAATAGCTGATTCAATCAACTATTGGATAAAAGTGTCAAAAAAGCCCTACTAAAGCAGCTGATCTATCATTGGGCAAGCTGTGTTCAACTAATGAGATGCCTGTCCTGGGTATGTACTGGACTCAGCATGAGAGTTTATGGAGTTTAAAGTGCCTTTTTTTATGTCTGTAAGCAGCCTGCGCATCCACACATGAAAGCTTGTTAATTCATGCTAAGTGCCCTCTCAAAGTTATACTACATCAGGCAAGGTTTAACTCTGGGCCATGCTACCAAGCTCATGCCAGGGTAACTTCAGTCCTCTCCATGGAGATAAAACAAGCAATTTGCAGCACTCCAGCATCCCAGGATGCACCACTCCCAGTTCACAGTCCCCCCTCTTCTCCCCTCCACCTATGCCAGAGCAGCGATAGACTCCAGGTGTCCTGGCTCCTAGCTACACTTGTAGTGGCAAGTCAGAGCTGCACAGGCAAAGCACAATATTAACCCTTAAGTATGCGGTGAGCAGTCACATGGTATCTTCAATGCTGCTTAACATTCAATAGCTTTACTATGGTCTAAGTGTAACATATAGCTTCACCCTTGGTCAATACGGCTCGGGGAAGACATGGAGTTCTTCCTGAGCTGTGTCAGCGGCAAAGGCAATTGGAATCTAATAGTTTCACTCATGCCACTCTCTGATTTTACCTCACAGTACTTGGTTATGGAAAATACAAGGCAGAGCAAGATAACTACACCAGGTTTGTGTCCATAATGCCTCTGAGTCCATCAGCCAGGGAAATACCAAATGTCCACATTCCCTTCCACAAAAGCCATTTGGCTTTCTTGTGCGGAGAGAGGCACCTGCTGCACTATGTGGAACAATCAGAACTCAGACTTCTGTCACACTCCAGGGCAGGAGATTGTGGACAGCTCCCCAAGAAGGCAGCATGACTCAGAATTAAGGGTAGCATTTGCCTACTTTTTATCCATTAAGAGCTCTCCGCTGCTTTACCCACCTCATTGGATGTTGATAAAACCCAAATCTGCCCCTGCATCTTTTTTCTCTCTCTCCCTTTGTGCCGCCGTACAAATTTATGGAGTTTGCAAGGATTATGTTTAATGTCTACTAGAGTTAATTGAGCATCAGTCAACTTTTTGAACTTTTTCTTTCTGCAGGTGCTGGAGAGTCAGGGAAGAGCACCATTGTGAAGCAAATGAAGTAAGTGTATGACTATGTAGATGAAGCAGAGAATGTGACTATGTGCAGCATAAAACTATGAGTTGTTATAGTGACTTTATTTTTCAATAACATGCAAAAGAAATAATTAAAAAGATTGTCTTGGTTATTCGGCCCAGTAAAACAAGGCGTGACAGGGAATCTGACTGCTCTTTACAAATGTATCAGGGTAATAAGCAACTGGGAGGGGAAAATACATTTAAATTAGAGGACAATGCTGACACAAAAACAAAGTTGTTAAACTAATCTGGAATACCTGTAGGCTAGAAACAAGAAGTTGTTTTTCATCATCAAAGGAGTAAGGTTCTGAAACAGCCTCCCACTACAAGTAATGGAAGAGCTGGTTTAAAGTGGGTGCTTGATCAATTAATGAAAGTCCTCTGCAATAGTAGAAGACTACATTCATTGAAGCAGGAGGTCACTGAATGCAGTTGGAGTCCTTTGAATTAGATTGGAACATACAAAGAGAGCGGAGACAACCTATTAGCTTGCTAATGAAACCTATCTGATAAATCTTGCATTGATGCAACACCTACTGGAGTGAAAGGGAGTCTTCCCACTAGCTTCAACAGGATTTGCAGCAAACTGTAGATATCCTGTTAGGGAGTGGCAGTCAGTAGATAACCATTGATTAGTACGCACTTGCTCTAATTCATACTCATCACCACACCCCCTTGCAAGAAGGAAGATTGTTTTTGACTCCCAAAGTTTTGGGCCCACCCCCGAAACACTCACTGGAGATTGGAACAGAAAGGTATTTGGATTTTGCTACTATCCAAATAGCCTAGAGCTGTAACATCTATGATAGCCATTTACTTAAGGGCCTGGTTCTACTTGCATTGAACCTTGGCTTATTTCCATTGACTGCAAAGGGAATTGAGTTACACAGTGAATAAACTTCATCATGGATTATTCTATTATAAATCATAACTTGACAGTTCAGGTTTCTTATGATGTAATGAAACTGGCTTGGACTCAATAAATCATTTCATTTTCTCATTTTCAAATAGCCAAAGTAGCCAAAGTAGAGACTGCATGTCTGATTTGAAGAAGTAGCTCAACCGTACCAAGTCAGTAGCAACATAGCTCATACTTAAATGCATAACCCAAATTCTCCTGTATATATAATCTTGTAAAACCTTATAGGTTTATCTAGATTTCTTTTTCTAAATAGTCATTAGGCAAATACAGGGAGATTGGAAAACTGCAAAGCTGAGAGCATTGTGAACATATCCTCAGCTAATTAGCAGCAACCTGCTCCAAGGAAAACATTTTTTAGCAAGAGAAATTTTAATAAGTGAGCTACTTCATCCCTTATTTTTTTTTTTTTCCTCTCTCACAACCTTATTGACATATTTAAATAGCAACTTAGACTGTATTATGTGTTGGGGAAAATCACAGAATGATAGAAAAATGCCACAATAAAAATAATTTTCCTTTTTTTTCTACTGATTATGTAGAGAGACAATCTCAGCAATGCTTTCCCAACTTCCCATTTTCTATGAGATGTCTTATGTTTTACTGTTCTCCTTGGGCACATCTGCACATGCAGTTTAACATGCAGTAGCCTATTTTACTGCACATTATAGTGTCACAGCAAAAACCGTCCTAATATGGTAATGCACAGTAAAATTAGGCTGCTATGCTGTAAGCATCACTAAAAAAGTATGTTTTCACTGCTGCACATTAGGGCAGTCTAATGCACATTTAGTTAGTACCTCACATTAGAAAACGTTTATACACGTGCTTCAGGAGTGAGGAGAGGGTGCTTTAATTAGAGTGACTCAGAGAGTCACTAATTAGAGATTCACTCCAATTAAAGCGCCTGGAACATCTCATGTATCAGTGTCCTCATGCTTCAAAATGGTGGTGGAGACACTTTATCTGAAGCTCATCAAACGAGCTTTAGATAAAAGTGCTCCTGCCACCATTCTGAAGTGTGGGGATGCTGATACATGAGATGTAGGAGGCTGCTGGAGCACACTTCAACTGACCTGATTAATTGAATCTGCTCCAATGCACTGGAATTGCAGCACATCAGAACAGCCTCCCTGCTTGTGTAAAAGCACCCAGAGGTACTAAATGTAATGTGCCAGAACAAAAACTCATTAATGAACATGTAGATGTACACCTTATGAATAAAACTGAGAAGCAGAGTCAATTAGTTCACATGGGGCACATCTACACAAGATGCTGACTGTGCAGTAGCATGCCACAGCATGGACAGTGCTAATAAGCTACTGTGCAGTGCTATTAGGCTACTGCACAGTAGCATCACCTAAAAGATGTTCTTCGGCACTTTGTAAGTACTAAATAAATGCACCTTTACCAGAGTTAGAGCAGCAGTGCCTGCAAGCATTTTTTAGGTGATGCTACTGCACAGTAGCCTAATGATATGTTTGGTTTTACAACTAGAACAAGTACTAAATAAAAGCACAGTATCAGCTTTGCAGTAGCGTCTCATGTAAACACATCCACTGCTCTAATTCAGCAGTTTACCCTATTCAGCCAAATATGTCAGTAAGTACTTAAGTCACATGGAAGTTGTACATAAATTCATCCTTACTCTGAAATGCATATAAGTATGTTTTTTTCACCTGGGAAGTGAGAGATGGCTGACAACCACAGTTCTTAATGGCACGGAGAATCAGACTGAAAAGCTCAAGATCACTTTTAAGGCCCCCATGGCTATGAAATGTACAGCTCAGAGTGTGTTCCATACAAAAAATTGACAAAAATGAGGATTATCATTTTTCTTGCCTTTTTTGCATACTTTTTTTCCCCCATGGGCAGTGTCAAGTTTTTAGCAAAAGTGCAAAATTAAAGTATTTGCAGCCAAAAAACAAAACCATTTCGCTTTTGGGCATTTTTTTTTTTTCAACAAAATGTCACACACAGTAAGTATGGTTCACAAATTATGCTATTGTTAAAAGCCCAATTTTTCATTTAAGAAAAAGCATTAATGGACTATTTTTACCCAACCCTAATGAGGTTATTTTGATACAGGTAATATAATATTATAGAGAACAGATGATGCTATTATGTCTTTTATTGGTCATCTTGCTGGAGACCTGTTCCAAAACTCACTAAAGTCAGAGTCTATCCAAAACCTATTGACTTCAATGAAAAATGTCCTATGAAACTCTGGGTAAATTGACACTGCAGTGAGGAGATACCAGAACTCTAAGATTGGTACCAGAATCGCGGCAGAAGCAGGGTAGATTAGCCATAGCTGAGCTAGCTTGTTTAAACCTATACCACCCATGAATATACATTATACTACTTGGATACACTATAGTGTGGGAGGACATGCCATAGCTCAAGCTTGTGGTGTCTTAACACAGAAAAAAACCAAACATTTCAAACATGTGTTAACTGACCCTGCCTGTTGCAGCTGAATTAACCACACCTATCTGATAAAAATGGCATCTCCCTACACTTAATAACAGGAGACTACATTTCCTAAGGTTCACATGTCACTTATTATGAATAACACCTAACGCAACATGGTTTCAACTACATGAGGTTTTCTGTTAAAGGTTGTTTACTTTCCCAGTTAGGAACAAGGGCAATATTCCTCTGATGCTAGGTAGAGACATTCAAAAAGCGCAAGGCCGAATCAATCCAAGTTATACAGTTTTCTGTAAGCGGCGTAGTTTAGATCAGTAGTGAAGAAAACACACATTCATTCCTTGGTGGGGGAAAGGGAAAACGTTAGACTGGGTTCTGCCATTTTTAAACCAGTCTGTGTGTCCTAAACTCCTGTTCTGCTACTGGTATAGACTGGTTTTTGACCGCTTACATTGGTAAAAGTGTAATGTCTGTACCTGGCCCAAGTGTTAATAACTGATGTTACCTTCTGAGCATTTCAACATGACAACACTGGTTTTTAATCTTTTTTAAAAGAAGTCCATGCCCCCAAACTGTACTTGTATATGTTTCTCTGCTTGCTAAAGGCATCTTAAAAGTTTGCTGCTGCCTTAGAAGTCTACAGGGTAGATGACATGGAAGCTGCCAGATCAAGTAAATATAAGTATACGTATATAAAAAGCCTCAAGAAAAACCAAGGGCTCTTTTCCTCTAATTACAGTAGCATATTTTATTTTGGGTGTTTATATTTTCTTGGTCCCTTTGTTCTACAAATGTTTTGAAAGATAAAACAAAAAGCTTACATAGGTTGTTTTGGGATTATAAGCATCTTTGTCTCTCGTTTGATCTCATTCCCTCAGATATTTGCAACTCCACCGCGAAAAAAATCCCAGACATTTTTTTTTCAGTGCCACAACTTCCACGTGGACCCTACTGCTTTCTTTGCCATGACAGGCTAAAACAGCCAGCCTCAGAATTTGCATGTTCTGTGGTCTGGAGTTTCCTTGCATTTCCTCCCATCATTCATACTAAAGCACCTGTTCTCAGTACTGAGCCTAAAATGTTTTGAAAATGTATCTGATTTTTCCCCCTTTAAAACATGCTGTAACCACAACGGTTGAATTCCCACTCAGCTGGGTGACCTACTTTGCCTGTTATGAGCATGTGGACATTTCAAAATGATCCCAAAATGTCTTCGCTCCCCACCCCTCCCCAATATCCCACGCTGTCATGGATCCTCCACAATACATAAAATTGGGACATATGCAACTCTTCTTCCTTCTTGAAAGTTTTTACAAATGCTTGAGGTCTTTCTCATTTTGGGCCAGATGTAAACCACTGGCATCAGTGGGAGTCCCTGACTTCAGTGGGCTTTGAAACACTATATTTTCTTGCATACAGCATATACCCTTCATCTCCTCCCCAATACTTCCCATATATAGTATGCATCTTGTTTTGAAGAGAAGCCAGAAGGAAAAAAAGACAGGATCTTTGTGGTTATGAGTAGCAGCGGCTAAGGACCTGAACCACCTCCAAATTCTGCTACCAGCCCACATGCGAGGATGCTGGGTCTGGGCCCACATGCCCAGTCTAACCCTATTCTCTGGCTCTGGGGATGCACACTGGGTGACAACCTCACATGCTGAATCTGGGACACCATGCTGAGTCTCTTACCCATTGTGTTGGCTCTGGGGTCCAACCCCATACGCTAGGTCTGCCTGTGGACTAATCGCCTACACACACCATCCCCTCTCAGAGCTATGCCAGTTAATGCTGCCACTGTGCTGCCACTGCTCTCCCACCGCCAAATTTCTGGATCCATGGGGATCCATTTTTCTTGCAAATATTGTGCACATCAATTTTAACCAGCTGGTTCTAGGGGAAAGACATGGGTCATATGCATGAAAATACAGTAGATTCTAAATATTATTTTAATAATATAGCTGAAGCTACTAGCCCCTTTAGGTGCTAAAATCTAACCTGGACATATTATAGAGCATTTTCTTGTCTATCACTGCATGCAACATTGCATCTCCTGTTCCTAGCTGCAGAAGAATAATAGGATGCATGGACAGGTTTTATTTATTATTAGTCAGCTTCCCTTCTTTGACAGTGATGGCCTGTCTTCTGCATTAATATCTCTACCCAAAAAACCCAGTTCATTTAGACGTAGTCTGTCAAAGCTTTTACTGACCCGTGTAGTAAGTAAAGATTCCCCCTCCTCTTTCCAATCAGGTTGTAGCTCTGGGCCGTAGGAGTAGGAACTGCCTTTCTCCTACTCGATACCCTGTCCTCTGCTCTGAAGCCACAGAGGGGGCAGGGTGGAGGGAACTTGCTAGCCCAACTGTGTGGCTCAGTGGGACAGGGGAAAGAGAAAGAGTGGGCACCAGAAAGAGATGAAGTAATTTCTCCTCTAGAACTAGTGAGGAGCTGTGTGTCTTCCTATGTCATAATCTAATCTCTAGGCTGTTCCTGTAGCTGTGCAGCTCTGTGTCATTGCAAAGCTGCAATCCACCCCTCAGCATAAGATTAATTGACTTTTCTGTTCAACCTCCCTGTCCATCTGGCTATGGATTACAACACAGAGACAAGTCCCCTGTAACAATCCAGGTGCCACTGAGCCCTACAGGAAAATTGCAGGGGGATCCCTCAAAAAACAGACAGGTTTCTCAGTTTTCCTGACGTTGTGCAAATGGTTTACATAATGAAAGGAGGAAATAGAAATGGGATGATTTCTTGAATAAATAACTCAGGGCACATCTACATGTGCCACTGTGGTGATGTTGTTACTGCGCCATGTAACAATCCATACTGCGCCGAATGTGTGATGCACAGTTATTTTTAGCAGCTATTTTGCTGTAGCAGCATGCTATACCCGGGGAGCGCACTGGTATGGCAAAGTAGCTACTGGCCCTGTGGAGATGCCCGCGGATGCCGCGTTACTGTAGTGCATTGCTATAGTGACAGCATTACATGTAGTCGTGCCCTCAGAGTAGGAAAACATCACAGCAATTATGGCTGTAATCTAAAGAAGACTAATAAAAATAAAAGTGAGATTAAAAACAGATAAAGAAACCTCTATAGTAATAAATGGATTAGGAGTTAAAGTAGTGTACACGTATACAGAGAGGTGTACACAAACATCCAGTGTGGAGGAGTATCAAGAAGATTAAGATCAGTAGATAAGAGAGTTTTAAAAAGTGAGGAGGAAAGAAAAATTTACCACTGAATATACTTGAATATATTCAATAGTAAATGTTTTAAACACACACAGAATAGAGCTGTAATGCCAAATAAATAAAAGGAAGAGAGTTCTCAGCAGACTAATGGGAGCCTGTCAGGAGATGGGACAGGAATTTGTGCCTGTGCAACGACGTACGACACAAAGAGTTTCCATGGCTGCACCCACCAGCTTCCAGGCCAAGAACAGTTCCTTGCTAGTATATGAACCACCCC